CAAAAAAAAAAAAAAAAAAAAAAAAAAACTGTTCAGTCAAGTTGGTTGACTTTTCTAGCCAACCGCACTTTTCTTTTCTATTCGCACTCAAACACGAGTAGTTCTCAAAAAGCTGTTTTGTTTGTGTGGTCCTCAGAGAGACATGGGAAAACGACATTGTGTATTGGCACGGTGCAAAAGATCGCCTCCAGTCACGGACAATGAGCCTGGTTTCCCTTGTTGGCCAGCCTTCCTCTCCTCCATTGCTTTTTGCCGCTCTTCGTAGAAGTCAAAATCATCTAAGATTGATGAACAATCTTCATGATTCTTTAAAATGTTGAGCATATCATTTCCATGCTTCAGTTCCACCTGAAATTAAAAGACAGTAGAAATCTGTGTGAAAAATTTCTGATCTAGTAATAATACACACGTCACGTTGTTAAAAAAAGGTTATGCAAGAGCTGTTGAGTCGAAAAGCTGCTTCTGAGATTGTTTGGGTAGTCAAATTCAAGAAAGCCATTTTAGTAAGACTTTGACTTGTACAAGAACTTTATTAGGATTTTACAAACATCGTTCCAAAACTTAGATATCACCTTTCTCCTTTACAACTCTTCTAAAAATAGGTTATAAAGCAAACTGAAGATTCATAACTTCTCTACTGCCTAAAGGCAAAGAAAAGCTATGCCAAATGTGTTGCTAAAGTTGAAAAGTTAAAAAGGAGTTTTAACGATTTCAAATGATTTGCAAATACTAAATAGACTCTTACTTACCTCCTGAGTATCTCTGCTGTTTGTGACGGGCTTGTTGTCATTATCTTTAATAATAATGTGACGAAACTGACTATTGGGAACATCTTTTATAATGTGCCACTTGACAGGGAATTGCCCGGTCCACTTATCTTGCAGCCAATAGTCCACGTTATTGTTGAAGTCAAGAGGCCCTACCATCTCAGCCACTCCACAGAATTGAGCACTACAATTAACCTGTATCATTGATATAACAGAAACAGAAGTTCAATGAAACAAGCCTTCTTAGAGGCTTAAAACACTAATTAATCTTTTCATTAACACTTAATAGTTGTTAGTAAATTACTGAAAATAGCAGAAATATCGGAATGTCTTTCTCTTTTGCTTCACGATATGCAGCGTCCAATTTCTTGTTGCCACTAGGGGTGCTAGCCCAAACGCCATACTTTATGCTCTTATGGACGTTATCTTCACTGTAAGATTTGATGACAAAGAACTTTGCGTCCTTATACTCGGTTACAAAATCCGGTTGGTTACACTTGTTCCGAAAATTATTAGGCATTTCGTGATTGCTTTCATCGCTGCTGGAACAATTAGCTCTTGTCACGCTTTTCGGCTTTGATGCCCTAGGTCCCTTGTTTTGAGCAGTTTGTGTTGCTACCATACCTGCACAACTGCATAAAAGATCATTCTTCCTTCCACCTCCACTAGCCTCCTTACCCATAAACCAGCTTTGACCGCTAATTCCAGGATTGTTGTTGGAGATATTTCGGCAGCCATAGCACCGATCATAATTAGGGAAGCCTCCATGATAGGAGCTTGTCAAAGATCTGTATCCATATAGTGGTTCCTCTTGAAGGGAAGCCTGCATGGTAGTTACACTTAGACCCCATTTAAAATATCCAAAAGAACACTAGTGGTATCTAAACTTCAGAGGAACGTGTTCTGCACCAAATTGATTGATTTTTTATGCTTAAGACAAATCATGAGGGCAATATAACGCGAAATCAGGCTTTGATTAGCTAAAAATGCAGCTATGCATGACATGTTAAAATTGTGTCCCAATCAACTTATACATGCAGGTGAAACTAACCATTCTAAAAGTATTCCCAGGCAGTCCCCGAAAATCAGTTAGTTTCGGGAAAGCAGTTCTTGATGACAATTGAATTAAGGAGCTTTGACTATTCACTGGTTTTAACAAGTTCGAATGTAATCCACCGAATCCTAACCCCTCAAATTCCTTCTGCATCAAATCAAAACCACTGGAACTTCCAAAAAGGTTGCTTTCTGTACCAGAATATCCGAATGGAGATGCACATACGGGTCTTGATTGGTTGTTCCCAGATTGACTTACTGCTTGATTAAGTGGACCTAGTGAAGCACCATATTGAACATTTGGAGGAATTGGTTGATGGTAGTAAGATGGATCTGAGTATAAGTTATCATGATTCCTTAAAGAAGACGGTTGAAAGGAAGGTGGAGCACACGGTCTATGCGACATTTGAGGAACGTAACCGTAACTATGAAACATCACAGATGGATTTTGATCATAAACGCCCTGCATTATTGGGGTGAAGAGAGGACAAAGTTCAAATACAAATAAGATGATTGAACAAGTAAAGTTGAGACTTGAGAATGCGAAACAATAAAAACGCCACCTATCAATATAAGTGCGTCAAAACTGTCACAGAACAATGTGGGACCTAAGCCCCGTTTGTTTCATATGTGTTGAGTCAATTCCCATATAATTAAGTATTCAATTACAAGTGATCAGCTCATTCTCTTATTAACATGTACTACAAGTCATTATGGGCCCGTTCGGTTCGCTAATTCGAGTTTAGATGTGATGTTGTATGAGAACTTTTTACTGTAACAAAAAAGTTAGATGTGACTATTTCTGAGAGCTTTTTACTGTAGCTAAACTCGAATCAGCGAAAAGAACGGGGCTTATATAAGTTTTGAAAGAATGTAGATTTGTGTACAAGTTAAACGGCAGCGATTTGGTAAATGAAAGGAGAAGCTGACGTGGCTGAGCAGAAGATGCTGGAAGTGTTGACTAGAGCACCACCGACATCCTCTACAGCTTTCATATATATTCAAAGATAGTTATAACAGAGAGAGCAAATTTTGGCTAGAGAGATCGAAGAAGAAAAACAGAAATCATTTTTTTCCTTCTGGGTTGTGAGATTGATGAGTTGAGAGCATTTTGTAACAAAAAAAGCCTAAGATAGAGAAAGGGGTTAAAGCAATAAAGGGAAAGAGAGAAAAGGCAAAATTTTCTTGGGAAAATTTCTTGTAGCTTTCTCTGGGTAAGGTTGTATTTTCTGAGAGATTGTTCTTGGTGTAAACTCTTGTAAGTTGTAATTGATCATTCTTTCAATAGTGCAAATCGAACTTCTTCTGGGGAGTTCGCGGGGACTTAGGTATAAATTTTGTACCGAACCTCGATAACAAATCTTGGTGTTCTTTTTTGTTTTTCGTTTGGTTTGATTCAGAATTGAAACTGGTGTTGGAGAAATTTCCAACAATGGTATCAGAGCTTGGTCAAGGCAAGATCAGTTTCACTTCTGATTCGGTACAAGAACACTGAAGGAACAAGAAGTTCAAGACTTGGATAACAAGTAGCAGTCACAAATCCAGTCAAGTAGCCACCAATCCTTCAAGAATTGATTTAGTTTGGGACCATGAGGAATTTGAAGGTCGAAATTGACAAATTCAATGGCTCCGGAGATTTCCACATATGGAGAAGAAAAATCAAAGGGCTTCTTGCTCAACAGAAGCTCCTCAAAGCACTAGAGGAAAAACCTAAATGGCCTGAAGAGTACTCTGAAGATCAACAAGAAAAACTACTTGAAACCACCACAGGTATAATCATTCTTCATCTTTCAAATGCTGTTATAAGGATGATTGATAAAGAAGATTCCCCCTCTAAAATTCGGAACAAACTTGATGAGCTGTTTCAGAAGAAATCCTTGACAAATAAAATCTAGAAGGCTCTTTGATTTTAGAATGAACACTCCTAGAACATTAGACCTGAATTTGGATGATTTTTTGAGAATGAATATAGAGTTAGCAAATTCTGGTGAAAACGAAACACTCAGTGATGAGAATCAAGCAATTATATTGTTAAATGCCCTGCCTGAGACCTTTAAGGAAGTAAAATCTGCCATAAAATATGGTAGAACATCAATCACTCTAGAAGAAGTAATTTCTGCTCTCAAGCCAAGGGATCTTGAAATCAAAATTGAGAAGAATGATTCTTCCTCTGGTGAGAATCATTTTGCAAGAGGAAGGCCAGCTCAAAGGGGGAATAATTCTAAAGGAAGGGGCAACAGTAAATCAAGAAGAAGATCTAGTTCAAAGGGTCCCAATTCCGGAAAAAGATGCTTTCACTGTAACAAGCTTGGGCACATAAAAAAGGAATGCTATTCGTATCTGAGAAAACATAAAGAGAAGAACAATTCCTCTAATGGAACTGACACACAAGAAGCAACCAACTACAGTGATGGTTATGATAATGGTGAGGTACTTCTGGGTTCTAATAATCAAAGTGAGCAAGATTGGATTCTTGACTCGGGATGCACCTACCACATGACACATAATAAAGAATGGTTGACTGATTTTAGAGAAGTCAATGGTGGCAAGGTTATGATGGGAAACAGCCACACGTGTCAGGTGGAGGGGGTAGGTACAGTTGCTATAAAGATGTTCGATGGTGTTGTTAGGCAGCTCAAAGAGGTCAGGTATGTTCCAAGCCTGGCAAGGAATTTAATCTCTTTGGGAATTCTAGATGATGCAGGCTATGTCAACAAGATTGAAAAATGGTCAATGAAAATATGTAAAGGTCATTAAAGGAGTCAAGAAAGATGGCCTATATCACTTAGTGGGAAAAACACTCACAGGGAAATTGTTAGTTGCTATAGCACCAGAAGACAAGAAAGCTGTTTTGTGGCACAACAGATTGGGCCACATCAGTGAAAGAGGTTGAAGATAATGACTGATGAAAGGCTCTTGGGACAAGACAAGATCAGCAAAGTCGATTTATGTAAATCATGCATCCTAGGAAAGCAGCACAAGCTCAAATTCAAGACAGGATGCCATGAATCTACATCACTCATGGAATATGTTCATGCAGACCTCTGGGGACCAGAGACTACTCCTACACATGGAGGTAACCTCTATTTTCTTTCCATTGTTGATGACTATTCTAGAAAGGTATGGCTGTATTTGTTAAAGAATAAAAGTGATGCGCTAAGTAGATTTAAGCAGTGGAGAACACTGCAAGAAAATTTGACAGATAAAAGGGTAAAAACACTTAGGACTGATAATGGCCTTGAATTCTGTAATGAATTATTTGACAAATACTGTGCTGAGGTAGGTATTTAGAGACATAGAACAGTTAGAAAAACTCCACAGTAAAATGGAGTTGCAGAAAGAATGAATAGAACTCTACTGAATAAGTCTAGGTGTATGCTTTTTCATGCTGGCCTACATAAGAGTTTTTGGGGTGAAGCTGTTATGATAGCTTGTTATTTGGTCAATAGGTGCCCCTCAAGTGCCATAACTTTTATAACACCTGAAGAGATGTGGAGAGGAAAACCCCCAGATCTCTCACATCTAAAAACCTTTGGGTGTGCCGCCTATGCACACTAAAAGGAGGGTAAACTTGAACCTAGGTCAGTTAAGTGTGTTTTTCTAGGATATCCAGAGGGCACAAAGGGGTATAGACTGTGGATAAGAGATGGGAAAGGTTTCAAAACAATAAACAGTAGGGATGTGATTTTTAATGAATTTGACTTTCCTTGTTTATCTAAAGCTAATACTCCTGTAGGAGAAAGTGTTTCTGTAACTAACCCTGCAGGTACAACATAAAGCAATATTCAGGTGGAGCCTATCAAGGATAGTACAATTTAGGTGGAGCCCACACATTGACAAGTCCCTGAATAAGGCCAATCTCTTGAACCAACGGTCACTGACCAGATTCAGTCCTCATCCGAAGGATATGAGACTAATCAAAGTGAAGGAAGTTTCCAGACAAATGACTACCAATTGGTGAGAGACAGATCAAGGAGGATTCCTAAACCTACACAGAGATATGGGTTCGCCGCTCTTACAGACCTGCTGGCATATGCTTTTATGACAGTAATAAAACTAGACAAGCAGGAACCAAAATCCTATAATGAAGCTATTAAAGGTCCAAATTCAAAGATGTGGGTGGCTGCCATGAAGGAAGAAATGAATTCACTCTATAAAAATGAGACTTGGGTCATGGTAACAGACCCAAGGATCAATCAGTTGTGGCTTGCAAATGCATCTATAAACTCAAGGAAGGAGCTTCAGAGAATGAACCAGTCAAGTACAAAACTAGATTGGTTGCAAAGTATTTACACAAAAAGAAGGAGTAGATTTTACCGAAATTTTCTCACCAGTAGTGAAGTACAAGACCATCCGAATAATGCTTTCACTTGTTACACAATTTGATCTTGAATTGGATCAAATGGATGTCAAAACTGCTTTTTTACATGGAGAACTAGATGAGAAAATTTTCATGGAACAGCCTAAAGGCTTTGAGATTCATAAAGTCAAGAATATGGTTTGCTTGTTAAAGAAATCATTGTATGGGCTAAAGCAATCACCCAGACAATGGTATAAAAGGTTTGACACCTTTATAACCAAGCAAGGGTTTGAAAGGAGCTGGTTTGATACATGCTTATATTACAGGGGTGAGAATATTCTTGAAGCTGAATATCTACTATTATATGTAGATGATATGCTGTTGATAAGCAAAGAAAAAGGAAAGATTGAGAAAATGAAGAATATGTTGAAGTCTGAGTTTGATATGAAGGATCTTGGACATACTGGAAGAATTTTGGGCATGAAGATTGACAAGGATAGAGACAAAGGTGTTTTGTTTCTGAATCAGAAAAATTATCTTGAGAAGTTTATTGACAAGTTTTCAATGAGAGGAGCAAAAGCACCAATGCAACCTATTACTGACTAGTTTCAGTTATCACTGCAACAAAGTCCTAAAGATGATGAAGAAAGCAAGTACATGGAGAATGTCCCTTATGCAAATGCTGTGGGCTCAATAATGTACTCCATGATCTGCACAAGGCCTGATTTGGCTTTTGCAATAAGCATACTAAGCAGATTCATGTCGAAGCCAGGTAGAGAGCATTGGAGAGCAATGAAGTAGTTGCTCAAGTACATTGGAGGGTCTATTGGATATGGACTAATGTACAAAAGGCATGGAAGTCAAATTACAGTTGAAGGGTATGTAAATTCGGACTATGCTGGAGATAAAGATAGCAGAAGATCTACAACAGCTTACTTCTTCTTGGTAAGTGGAATCTGCATAAGTTGGAAGTCTCAACTACAACCAGTGGTAGCACTCTCAACAACCGAATCAGAATATACGGCTGCAACGGAAGCCATAAAGGAGGGGATTTGGTTACAAGGATTACTTAAGGAACTAAAGCTGTTAAAAGAGAAGGCAACTATTTATTCAGACAGTCAGAGTGCCATACACTTGTGCAAGAATCCGGTGTTCCATGACAGAACAAAGCACATAGAAGTTAAATATCATTTTATTAGAGAAAAGGTGACTCAAGAGGTGATTAATATAGAGAAAGTTCCTACAGAAGAGAATCCTGCAGACATGGGAACAAAGGTGGTAACACTTAGCAAGTTTAAGCAATGTCTTAAACTGCTAGGTATTGAAAATGGATGATAAAGGAAAAGTTCGAGCAAGGATCCAGAAGAGATAAGTTTAGATTTGCACTAACTTCATTATATGGGAACTGAGGTGGAGATTGTTGAGTCAATTCCCATATAATTAAGTATTCAATTACAAGTGATCAGCTCATTCTCTTATTAACATGTACTACAAGTCATTATATAAGTTTTGGAAGAATGCAGATTTGTGTACAAGCTAAACGGCAGCGTTTCAGTAAATGAAAAGCGAAGCTGGCATGGCTGAGCAGAAGATGCTGAAAGTGTTGACTAGAGCACCACCGACATCCTCTACAGCTTTCATATATATTCAAAGATAGTTATAACAGAGAGGGCAAATTTTGGCTAGAGAGATCGAAGAAGAAAAATAGAAATCAGTTTTTTTCTTCTGGGTTGTGAGATTGATGAGTTGAGAGCATTCTGTAATAGAAAAAGCCTAAGATAGAGAAAGGGGATAAAGCAAGAAAGGGAAATAGAGAAAAGGCAAAATTTTCTCAAGAAAATTTCTTGTAGCTTTCTCTGGGTAAGGTTGTATTTTCTGAGAGATTGTTCTTGGTGTAAACTCTTATAATTGATCATTCTTTCAATAGTGCAAATCGAACTTCTTCTGGGGAGTTCGCGGGGATGTAGGTATAAATTTTGTACCGAACCTCGATAACAAATCTTGGTGTTCTTTTTCGTTTTTCGTTTGGTTTGATTCAGAATTGAAACTGGTGTTGGAGAAATTTCCAACAATACGTTTAAACCTAATTTTGATTCTACTATAGTGTTTTTCTCTCACAAAAAATTTGAATTCAAATGTCAGAATCAAGAATCACTAGTTTGAATGCATGAACCAAACGGGCCCCTATGATTTCACTCTCTTCTTTTCCTCCATGTAAGAGTTCTATTATACAACCACACTTCTGCTGATGCATCACCAATGATAATTAAAAGCGGTGCTCGCAATATAAAGGTCCATGTTATATACTCACAGAAGTAGAATTTCCCGAGCTTTCAACATTAACATGTGGAGGATATTTGTCCCATAAACCTGCTGCATTCTCAGAACCTAAGCATAACCAAAGATATTAGGGTGATCATATAAAGCAGAAAAACACTAAAAGAAACTCCCTTTCAATTTGGGTTCAAGCTGTGCCACTGATTTCAAAGGCATGAATATCTAAACACAGAATACCCACCAAAGATAAATTCTCTAAACACAATTTACATAACAATTCAAACCTGATAACTCTTTTTTCAGTCTTAATGACAGTGATGATAGGATTGGCGTCCACTCTTGAGCCTTAATACTAATGCGTGCGTTAATTTATATATATATATATATATATATATATATATATTGAAAGAAGGAATACAATTACTTGAAGAATTCTTGTTCGACAGAAAAAAATGCACGATTCTTCAAATGTTGCTGTTTGGCAATGTTCCGTGCACGAACGAATTACATTTAATGAACATATAGAGAAACATAAACAACAATATTCTCATCTGGGGTCGGATATAAACAATCAATCACTGAGCGATTTGGTGGGCCCAGAGCCTTTGGCCGAAGGATACATAAAACCTCCAATAACCCCATTATCTACCCTCACTTAGTTTAAATATCGTACGAATCACGAACTATAATAGAGTTTTCGGTTTAAATTTTTATTATATACTGGGGATAAAAGAAGGGGTTCCTTTGGTTGTCGTACCAGTAAAGGCTATAGAATCAGCAATCTGCTGGGATGCAGCCATTAACGTGATGAGAAACTGTTACAACCAAATTTCTATGATCAAAATTTAGCTCAATTTGGTGTTTCGGAATTGGGAAAAACGTAAAACAGAGAGAGAGAGAGAGAGAGACGGAAGGTGGAGGGGTTTGGGGCGTGTATGTAGAAGAAATGAGAAGAAGCTTAATTCGGATTTCGGGCCTCAGGAGCGCCTAATTGGTATTTATCTGTTTTTTTAGCCAAACAAAATACGCTCTAAATATTTTCTTATTATTATTTTTTTTATATAATTTTTTTGTTTTTACTTTTTATAGAGTAAGAATTTATATTTTATAATTTAACGAATATAATTAATAATCTTTTTAATTTGATGATTTAGAAATATATACCATATATATTGTTTTTTCATCAAGAATTATTACCCTATCATTATGGTAAGATTTTGATTTAAATATATATATATATACCAAAATATAAACTTAACTAAAATACCAAATAAACCTGACAATTTACTTTTAAAATTGATATATAAATATTTTTGCAAATTTTTGATACATATAAAGAATGAACAACGCACAACTAGAGGGTATTTTTCTTATATTCTAAAAACAGATTTAGCAAAAAGCACAAAAAAGAAAGAAAAAAAAAAGAATGATATTATGCTTTAAGTGCGTTTGTCTTAAAAATTATACATAATTTAAATTAGAATTTTTAATTCTATTATAATATTTTTTTTCATAAAAAATTTTATAGACATTTAGTTCATGGGTTCAGAATTATGATTTAAAATTATTCTCAATTTACGTGTGTTTTTATGAAAAAAATACTATAACGAATCACAACACAAACTATGATCCGAACTATGACACGAATTTTTACTTAAAAAAAACATTAAAATTTAAACGTTAAAATTATAAATTATAGTTTGAATTATGAACTAAACTGATACTTAAGGCTCCGTTTATTTTGCTGATTCGAGTTTAGAATTTAAATTTTACTACAGTAAAAAACTCTCAGAAACAATCATATCTAATTTTTTTACTATAATAAAAAACTCTCATACAACATCACATCTCAATTCAAATTGAGCCTGATATATTTCGCAATCTCCGCGCTAAGCGGGACCCAATCAATCAATCAAACCGCGAAGATTCTCCCGAGAAACAATAGAACGGTGCGTTTAAAGAGCAAAGCGTATGCGAAAATCTTCGCAGCATCATATAATCGACAACGAAACGCAAAACGTTCTTTTTTCTCTCCCGCTTTGTAATTGTAGGGCATAATAATTTTCCCATTTCCCTTCTCACTCCAAACCCAAACCAACCACCAAGATCTCTCTCTCTCTCTGTCTCTCTCTGTCTCTCTCTCGATATGTCTCAGGTAATTATTCTTCAACTTTCTCAATATTCTTCTTCGATTCTTTCAATCTCTCGCTTTTCAGTTGTTTCTTCTTCGAGTTATTCAAAGGTTTCATATTTTGATTTTTTTTTGTTGTGCTTTGAATAGTTTTGTTTCAATTCGATTGATATGGTAATTCGCGGGAAGTTTGAGGAACTAATGTGCATTTGATGCGATTGTGCCGATTCTAATGTTTGGCATCCAAGAAAATCGAAAGCATTAGGGTTTTATAGTGGAAAACGATTTGGTTTCGTAGTTTTTTTCGTAAATTGTGTTTCTTTCTGGTGTCCAGGTCGATAACAGAAATTCCTCGGCGGCTAAGCGTGCTAGAACTGATGGTATGCAATTTTTTTTCCCTTCTTTCTTGTGATTCGTATTTGATATTGTTAGTCATGTGTATTAGGTAAATTAGTGTTTGTAGTGATTAGTTTAATCCTTAGAAGCTGTATTTGGAGTAAAAAGAAGGTCACGATGAGCTTCCCCGTGGATAATTTTGTTTGGCAAACTAGCTTAAGACAACCATTATTCGTGTGACCTCAGATTTCTGATATTGGGGATGATTATAATGCGTATATGATTTCTCTATTGCTATAGGTTCATATGAGAAAAGAGTATGAATTTATACTATGCATCATATGTTGGTCAATTAGATTTATTACAGGACTTGAAAGACCCTTGGCAAGATATTATCAAGCTTTTTGTTTGATTAATTAAGTTGATATATTTTGTCGTTTGATAGTTAATTGAACCCGTGTTTTATGATGTTAGATGTGTATGGAATTTTCCCTCCGCATTCTGATACAGGATTGCCATCGTCAATGTTGCAGGCAGTCGCCGGGAAGATGATTGGACCTGCCCTAGCTGTGGAAATGTCAACTTTTCATTTAGAACAACTTGCAATATGCGTAATTGCACTCAGCCAAGGCCAGCTGATCATAACTCCGTAAGAGATTGGTCTCTATTGCTTAAATACTGGCATTGTATCTTAATGTGGGAAGCTGGTTGCTGAATCCATTTCATAGTTGTAGGAACTGATAATGTACCTATAGTTTCTAGGATCAGTATCGTTTGAAGGATCCTTTTTATATTCTCTTCTATGTACAGATAATATAAATTCATAATAATTCCAGTATCCTTTGAAGAACCAACAATACTGAAATTGTCTTTTGCTATGGGAAGCTATTTTATAGGACCCTTTTGAGGGCCTCTGCAAATATAAAATTAATGATAACCTATAGTTTCTAGGATCAGTATCGTTTGAAGGATCCTTTTTATATTCTCTTCTATGTACAGATAATATAAATTTATAATAATTCCAGTATCCTTTGAAGAACCAACAATACTGAAATTGTCTTTTGCTATGGGAAGCTATTTTATAGGACCCTTTTGAGGGCCTCTGCAAATATAAAATTAATGATAACCTATAGTTTCTAGGATCAGTATCGTTTGAAGGATCCTTTTTATATTCTCTTCTATGTACAGATAATATAAATTCATAATAATTCCAGTATCCTTTGAAGAACCAACAATACTGAAATTGTCTTTTGCTATGGGAAGCTATTTTATAGGACCCTTTTGAGGGCCTCTGCAAATATAAAATTAATGATAATAATAAGTACAAAATTCTTAATTTCAATAATCATTATAAGCCAATATTGTCAGTACATTAAATAAGGCGTTTATACATTGCTCTCTTCATTCTTCACGCACCCTTTCCAGAACAATGTGATGTCAGAATACAGTCATGAGTATATCCCCATTTGGGTGTTAATATTTCCTTTGGTCGTGTAATGTTTTTACTTATCTCTGTTTTTCCATTCTTTTGTTTTTGAGATTTTGTTTGCTATTCTTCTTAATATGAACACAACATCTTCAATTCATAGCATTTTTTTCTATTCCCAGAAATCTGCTGCTAAGCCTGTCCAAGCCCCACAAGGTTACACATCATCTGCTCCTTATTTGGGTTCTGGTGCACCATCTTCAATGTATCTTGGCATGCCACCGTATGGTTCTTCTCTCTTCAATGGATCATCTATCCCTCCATATGATGTTCCATTTTCTGGGGGCTCAGCATATCATTACAACTACGGAAGCCGTTTATCTACAGGCAGCCCTTACAGACCTTTGCATTTTTCTGCACCAGCACCTTATTCAAGTGGATCAATGATGGGTAATGGTAATAATGATGTGTGCCCATTTAAATGCTTATTATTGGGTTATCTGTCTCGTGGTTTAGTAATGGTCTTAAGAATACTAAACATGGTCTTTAAAAAAATGGTCTTTAACATTTATAGTCCATTGCTTTTTAACTTGCTACAATAGTCTTAGTATTGACCTGGCATGACTTTCTCAGTCCATTTTATGTTTCAACCATACTTTGTAATTTTCTCATTGTCGAGTGTGGTCTAGTTTTTATAGTGTATTAGTGATGACTTTGGTTTTCTACTCCTCCTCTTACAGGTGGGATGTATGGTATTCCCCCAATGATGGATCGGTATGGCCTGGGTCTTCCCATGGGGCCGGCAGCTTTGGTATGTATAGAAGTTTATGCTTCTTTTTTCTTGCTAGAATTGGAGATTCAGGATCGTGGATGTTAGATTTCATACTAGTTTCCTATGTTGGCAATAGGTGCTTTCAATTCCTGTGAACATTGATCATTGTGATTGGAAATCTGTCTAATATTCACTTTACTCTGAGGTACAGCATTCATTTGGGTTTATATGTAGTAAAGTATATGAGTTGAATTTTTACAGGGGCCAAGGCCTGGATTTTTTCCAGACGATAAATCTCAAAAGAAGGGTACAGGTCAGTTGTTTAGGATGATTGTGAAGGTCTTATCCTTTAGTTGCCTATCATTGTGGTATCATCTTCAACTAATTTAAAACTTTTAAAATTTTGATGCACTCTAGACGCCACACGTGATAATGACTGGACATGCCCAAAATGTGGAAATATCAACTTCTCATTCAGAACCGTTTGCAACATGAGAAAATGCAACACTCCAAAGCCTGGTTCTCAGGTTTGTCTTCTCTCTTTCAATTATGTAACTTGTTTTAAGTTTTCTTTCTTCTTCTTTTTTTTTTTTTTTACCTCGATTGGGCGAGGTCAATTTGTTATATAACTTTCTAACACAAGAGGATCTTCTGCAACGCAGGCATCAAAGTCTGACAAAAATTCTAGTAAGTTTGCCTATAACTGATTGCCGTCTAATTGGGTTCCACTCTCGTTAACCTACAAAATGTTTGTGTCGTGTCACTAACTTATGCATCTTTTTTTTGCTAGAACAAAAGATGCCGGAAGGTAGCTGGAAGTGTGAGAAATGTAATAACATTAACTATCCATTTAGAACGAAGTGTAATAGACAGAACTGTGGGGCTGATAAGCCAGATGAGTCAAAGAAGTCCCCTTCCCAAACACCTGAAGAAAATGATCAGGTTTGTTGTGTTTTGCACCTTTTTTGTATCTCCACTTTAATCTGTAAATTGGTTTGGCTTTTTATTACTTATGTAAACGGTACAATGTCTGATATTCTATTCGAATTTCATGTTAATGGATCAACTAAGGTTACAATTTTCTGCTCCTTTTAGCCGTCTGTTATTCTTTTTGGTGATGGTTTTGACTTGCCTTTCTAATTTTCTTTCCCTATCTCTCCATTGCCTCCTTTAATTTAAGATTATCTACTGTTCCAGTGAGTTCTAGGACATGTTTGAGGGTTGAGAAGGTCCAGAGTCGTCCGGCATTGCTCAATGTGGGTGTCTGAAAGTCAGTCTTGTCGTCCTCATGTTGCAGCGGTTGTCAAGTTACTCTACCTTTTCAGGATATGTGTCAAGTTGTATTCTATTGCTATGGTATTTGTGGTCTTTGTGGATCATACAATGCATCTTGTGTCGGCCAGTATGATCTGGCAAAGATTTACAGGTTGGTTCTGGTTTCTAATAGTTAGTCCGTTGTACTTTTTGGAATCTACTCATCTATTCTGTAGTGGGTAAATTGCCGTGCATGTTAGAAATGTTCCCATTAGCTGAAGGTTTCTATGGTCTGCACTTCTGGTTTTTCATTGATCCAAAATTTTCTTCATGCCCTCAAGCATCTTTAAGAAATGGCAGGTGCTCCTGTTAGAAGTATGATAAGGTCCAAGTTTGATTTGTTAATTAGGCCTCTTGTTTGATGAAAATTTGGCTGATGATTAGTTAGTTGCTTTAGGATGAAAGGGCTGAAATTTTCCTTCCTATTTGCTGCCAGTGACGTTGTGGATCATGTTACGGTCCTACAGGTCGTGTCCATTAAAGTGATTAGTGGCTTGCCTTGGTTTTTCTTTTGCTTCATCAATATGTTCTCATTGGTCTTGTCGTCGTATAGGCCTTTGCAATTTAACCTAATCTTGATAGCCTTAATTGCTTCTAGGACATTGTTTCGTCTCGTCTCCTTCCTAGATTTTTTTATAAGTTAGAAGCTAAAAAAATTCACTCCTCGGTTCCAATTATGCTCTATGTTGGTATAATATGGCATCATAGTATACCCACATTTAATGGGATGAGAAAATGTCGTTGGCTTTTTTTTTTTTTTTTTTGGCGTGTAAGGAAAGACTATTCTTTATTGCACAATACAAAGTTTACTAAAACCTCGTTCATTTCGCTGATTCGAGTTTTGCTACAGTAAAAAGCTCTCAGAAACAGTCACATTTAACTTTTTTACTACAGTAAAAAGCTCTCACATAACATCACATCTCAACTTGAATTAGCGAACTGAACAGGCAGTGGCTCCACTACAAGTGTGCAACGTCCACACATTAGCATTAAGCGCACGCCTATACTTCTTCGACTTTCTGCGTATGCTCTCTGCAGCAAAAGTATTTTTAACAGGTTCTGCTGTCAATTATTTGTTAATATCGCTATGTTACTACACCTACAGCTTTGTGCCGTAGTGGCTTGGTTTGGAAACCATTTCTTTAATTATCATGAGTACTCGGTCGAGTGTTTTTTTGAGTAAGTATATTGGAGACTCCTCTTAGTTTTAACACCCTGGTCTCGAGTTTGAGATTGGAGTGCTTCTTCCTAAGTTTCCCGATCCCTGCAGTTGCAGGCGCGGCGTGCGACCTGCCGTTCTGCAGGCCACCAAGTCCTCAACTTTGTGTTTGTATATGTATATTTCAATACGATTACCAGTTTATTATAATCATGGCGACTATGTTTGAAACCCATGAAAAAGGAGTTTTAGTGGGTTGGACAAGGAAAGAAAAAACCTGCGTGGGAATAATAGCCAAAATTAGGGTTTAAGGCCAAAAAATTAAAGTAAGATTATCTGAAATTTAGCATTGAGGATTAGACAAATAAATGTGAAGCATGGAAATTGTTCAGAGAAAAATAATATAAATGAATAAAAATGAAAGTTGTGTATGCATTGCCTAGAGCTGGCCCGAGGCAACTACGGGTTTGAATAGATGAAGGGAACAGTGGCACTGCATTTAAAGCAAGGTGGTCAGCAAACTTAGATTGGAGGATTGTCATTTTTTCATTTAACGGCGAAAGAAAATTTACATCTCCGCCCTCTCTTCTGTCGGCTTGGCTTTTGCAATGAATAACTAAAAACAAAACGCTCAAAATGTAGCTATGAGCATGCCTTTTAACTTTTTGTATGGTAGAGAACTCAAACGTACCAAGTAAACGCAGCCTTGCAAGTCGCAAGACCAATTCATAGCTATAGCACCACTTAAACGTCGTGACCAAAAAGAGCGGGACAAAATAAATAAATAAATATTATAAAATAAACCCACAGAGCCAAGCCAATTTTATTCTTAGGTGAAACAAAAAAAGAGACGTAAATTTTTTCAATTTTTAAGGTATGTTTCGCTTCACCCCCAACACCTAAAGATGAACGACATATTCGTTTAAATTGGGTAACAAATAAAACACTTGACGCTTATAAGCAAACAGTGAGGGAAAGTTACCTCTACAAGCGTGAGATTATACGGTCTTACAAATCAAAATACAACTGGAAAGTTAAAAAGAGGTCAAGAAGAGTGAACTACTTGAAGTGATGGGAATAAAAAGCAGTGTCACCGGGAGGTTTGATCAAATGGAGATCTTGAAAGTGGGTGGTGGCATTGGCATTACTATTACTGCGTGTGTGGGGGGTAGGTGGAAATGCCGCATCAATAGCTGTTGGCTGTTGGGTCTGCCAGAACTCTGAAGCAAAAGGAAAGCCTTGAGTCTGTGTGGTGGTCATTTGATGCATCGCGGGTTGAACCATGCCGTTGCTGCAGCTGCTATGGTGATTTGTGTTGTTGAGGGCGGTAGAACAAGTATCTAGAGAAACAATCTTTGTTTCGCGCGAACACCATGAACTAGTTGACAGAAGAGAGAGAGCACGATGAAGATCCTGTGTCGCATTTAGCTCTGTCGACACCACAGATTCTTCTAACCCTGCAAAATCTTACTGGCATCACCCTTTTGACCATTACAAAGAAAAATCTACTCACTTTACTTTAATGATCAGCCCAAGGCTTTACGCCATCCTAACTTTAGCCTTCTTTGGTAGGAGAAGGGGTACATAACAAAGCAAGGGAAATGGATGGAAAAGTCATTTCTCTTGGGGTGTCTGGTATAAAAGGAAAGGAAAAGAATTATTGCCCTTGTCTGGTACAAAGATGTAAGGAAGGAGAAGGAAAAGATTATATTCATACAATAACCATTTTAACCTTTGTTTGGTTTTTCTCAATTATAAGGGATAAATAAAATAATTTGACACCATAGTATAATTAGATGAATAAATTTCTATCCAAGAATCAAACTGAAAAGGGTCAAACGAAAAATGGGTTCTTTAAAGGATTTTGAATTCCTCAGCCAATCCATTTCCTAATGTAACCCTTTTTACCAAACGACCACAAGTCCTAAAATCGTTCTACCAATCCCCACCCCATCCCTTACTTCCCCTTTTCCTGCTCCTACCAAACAAGCTCTTAGTTAATATTATTACTCGTAGCTTAATTCTACAAACAGAAGGCACATATTCTGTCGGGAAGGAATGACAAACCTGAGTGGAGAACCTCAGGGGCAGTGTTTTTATTTGGCGTTAGTCTACCGGAATCCTGAGGATAAAGCATGGAAATACTGCTAGGCATTTCATTGTTGGGCAAAAAAATCTGTCCAGGTGCGGCTCCTGTTTTCGCAGGCCTTGACAAGTACTCTCTTGTATGCGCCAACTTAGAGCTATCAGTGCTATGATCCCATGTAAAATTTGCAGCATGCCTTGTATAAAGGCGCGGGGCTTGGTCAAACACAAGGCTCATCTTCTGTGTCTCGTCTGAAGAAAGGGAACACATGAATCAGCAAAATTTTGATGCACGTGAACGAAGGAATTACCAAATGAAAAAGAAACTCAATGTAGAAAATGTACCATATAGTGAAGAAAGTCTCGCTGGATTTAACCGGACGGCTTCAGGCTGTGGCTTGCGGCGCCTTGCGTTGTGATCTGAAAGACGTCTTCGACAGCTTCTCTTCTTTTCATCAAATTCAGACAGACCGTGGAACCTTTTACATCACAAAGTAGTTTTGCTTATTAACCTACCCACTTGGTATAAGCTAAGAAAAACCAACACTCATTTTGATTGACTGAAGTGACAATACTTTTGAACCAAAAGTGAAAAAGAAAAAGTAACTAATAGTATTGAGACATACGGGTGACCATATGTCCAAGCTATATTGACTCAGAAACTAGATAAAATCGACAGCAAAGTACAAGATACCTGGATTTGTTTATCTTGTTGTGACTCAAAAGAATCTAGTGTTGTAAGAAGATTTACCTGCTACACTGCTGGCAAAACCGACGCTCCACACCGCCTACAATGACCCTTGGAGATTTGGAATGACTTTCACAAATTCTATGCTTTCGATGGTAATCTTTTGCCGAGGAAAGATCAAGGTTGCAGCCTTCAACTTGGCAGCGAGGCATGAAATTACTCTGGCAAGTGGACTTGCTTCTCTTAGCCGTTGTAGCAGATGACATGGGTGCTACAGACGGGGCTGAGGATGACTTGGCGTTGTTTTCTGAACAAATATCTTTGAAGTACATCCGCTTGCCCAACTTTAAACTGAGCAATGGCTCACCAGAGCCAGCTGAAATTTCAGGTGTTGGTGAAGATCTAGGTTGTTGAACTCGGGCAGACTCATTTTCACTCCTTGAATCCTTTGGAAAAGGTTCGAAACCGTCGAGAGTAAATTTGTTGGATGTCTTGCTTTCCCCAATTGATGAAGAATTGATGGAAGCCGATATGGAGCTCTTCGATGAAGCATGACCCAAATCGGAACCTGAACCACCGGTTCCTGCGCTGCTACCCCCACCATCCCCAGGTGAATGGAGAGATCCGGAGCTAATTCCTCGATCTACTTCAACAAAGCAATCCATTCGTTGTAGTAGCTTCTTAGGATTCTCGGTTGCTTTCGCCTCAAGCTCAAAAAGGTTCTCCCAGTCCCATAATGAGGAAGCTTTTGAATTCCACTCCATAACCAGCAGAATAAATGGAAAAGAAAATTGATTCACCCACTTTTCTCCAAGAATTCAAAAGCAGACTGGACACCAGATGCTGTAAAACTTGACAGATTTAAATCCATATAAATTTCAGCAGAATGGAAAGCAAAGCAGAAATGGATTGGGAATAGAAATGGCAGGAAAATACTGCTATGTTGATTAAGAAATTCATAAATACCATGAAAGGAAAAACAAGAGAAAATAAAATAGATTTGCAGAAAGATTGGTTTAAATACCTTTTAACCTCACGTTATGGAATTGCCAGGCATCTCTGATTCAAAAGAGCTAGCACAAACAGAAGAAGGAAAATCAGAATATCTATCAATCTGAAGACAGAAACTTATCAGATCTGCCCACACTTCACTTCACAGCTTAAAAGTAGGGAGACAGTAAAACAATAGATTTGACAAAAACGAAAAAATGGAACAAGAAATAAGAATCCCATTTAGAGAAACAGTCACTAGCCAGCAGATAAAGCCATTAAATGCTTTTTTCCCAAGGATCCCCTTTTATAAAATCTATTTTTCCTCCATGATGATGATGACCAAAATGGAGAAGCTGGTGATTCAAATCCAAAGGTCCACCGGTTGCGTTCTTCATGTCTGAGCCATAAGTTTTATTTATTTATTTATTTTTCCCTACTCTGGTACCTAACAAGTCCCATCACTCACAATGGTACAATCAAACTTAAAAGCCCCAATAGTAAAGATGGGCAAGTGTTCCCCATTTCCCTGCAACAGTTTGGGGTGATTTTTGTGCCAGATTCCTACTGACAAAAAGGAGAAAAGGGAAAAAATAAAATGAAAAAAAAAAAAAAAACTTACAGTTACTAACAGAACCATCTGAAATTTACCATTTTTGGAGCTTTACCCTCTCTCTCTCCCTCTCCACACTTGATAGAAATTATCAGAGCCGGCAGAACCGGTAAGTTCTCAGACCTTCTTCATTAGGGCTAATAACAATCAATAATAATAAAAATGGCAGACCACAAATCCAGTAATTGGAGAAGACCCACCACTTCCCAATACCCAATGTTAAAAAAAACCTTGATTGGTCAACATTTCAACAGCAACAAAACCCATAATTTTATTCTTAATATAAGTTACTGAAAATCGGTCTCAACAACCTTTGCACCTAAACATAGAACGTCAAAAATCAAACACACACAAAAAAGAAAGAAAACGATTTTGATTGATTCATTGACCATATTTCGCTTTTAGGGA